CATGGACCTCCCTAGGGTATCAGGTTCACATGGACCTCCCAAGGGTACCATGTGTTCCTTACCTCCATCCTTTTGCTCCCATTGTATGGTCCTTTCCCCCAGTTTCTCCAGTATGTCATTCATCCCACTCTGAGGCACCCGGGAAAGAGCCTTGTGAATGGGAGAGGTCTAAGGAATGAGTGAGGAAGCTGCAGCCTTCTAGATATTGTAGGATTCTAACTCCCATCAGTCCCAGTCAGCATGAGGGCCAGGGATGATGGAAGTTGTAGTTCAACAACATCTAGATGGCTAAAGTTTTCCCTATATTTGTTCTAAAGTCAGCATATCTTGCTAGTGCTTGGATCTCCTTTCTACAAATGACATGTCCTTTCTATAGCATGGCAAAAATCGGACTGTAGAAGGATTTACAAATTGATCCTTACCTGTTTGTAATATACCAGAAGGCAGCTAGTACACCTGAAAGCCAAGTTCCACTAAGAAGCCAGCAGGTTACATACAAAGCAGTGACATAGACTGCCTGAAGACTAAATAAAGCGTAGATGTAAAAATAAACAGGTTCTAAAAATTTCTGCAGAGGAAGGATATATGAGATAGGTAAATACATATTATTTGTTTAAGCACTGTTCATATTTTAAGAAATTTCTATAAATCAAGGCTGCAATCTTATCCACAATTGTTAGCAGGTGAGTCCCACTGAAATATATGAGACCTGTTTTGAAGAAAGCATGTGTAGGATTGGATTGTAAGATGTCCTGGAATACTGTTATTGGAGCGCTCACTATGCCTACTAGACTAGTGCAGTTTTGCAGGGCAGCTTAGGACTGCACTACAACTTTGGTCAGTTTCCACAGTACTTGTGAGGAAGTACTATGCTGCACTGACAGGAAGAATCCAGGTCACTGATTATTTCAGTATTTATAATGGATCACTTACCTTCATATGAAAAACTGTATACAGAATGCTGAGAAATACTTCTTGGTAAACATTCATTCTTCCAAGGATGTTAATTGTCCTCAATGATTCAGTTTTATTGTCATAAATTAAACTGTGTAAACCTATGTAATAAAAAGAAAATAAAATGAGGCTACACTTATTTTTTAAAAAAAATCCATTCAAAACTAAAAAACTAGTAAAAACATGAAAATACAGAGATAGATATCAAAATACTGTGTTGAGTACACAATTCCACTTTTTAAAAAGTCCTTTGGTTTAAATGTAGTTATTTTATAATGTTCAGTGAATGTTATGTCTTACTACTTAATATGGAACTCCTCTCTGCAGTACAGGCACCAGGCTTCTAAGTATCTTCAGGTTAATGCAAGAAGTAAAAAGACTTTGCTAACTCACACAATTTGCCTCAGATAATATTTTTGATCTGGTTGTGTATACCTTATAAAGATTCCCTTGTAATGAAGGCTGTGACCTAGATGAAGAACTTCTCAGAAAACACGATCAGAAACACTCAGAAAAGAGATAACCTATCAAAAAATGCGGATTCAGGACATATTTGTTCAACTGAGACATGTTTGTTGTTTCTAGGGTTTTGGAAAAACCTGACATTATATGCCTATGTAGTCAGTAAAATTTAAGAAAGTCTATGGAATAATACGCATTTCAAAATAAAGCATCATTTATTTGGGGGGATAGTAGGCACATTTACTTGGTGTTATATATATAACATTACGATCTTAAGCTTAATAGTGCCCAATGGAGTTATCTCCTTAGTAAGCATGTATAAGATGAAACTTGTTGTGAATAGCTTGATAAACAACACTGTTTTCATTGTATAAGGAATGCTCCTGAGATGTCAGTTAAGTTTCTAGAGATCAAGGCAATCTGAAAAGTACTGCTTAAGGCAGAAACAATGCTTTTAGCGATTTTTATAGCATCTAGAAAACAAAAACACTTCCAAATGTGACAAGCACCAACAACATATACAGCTGCCTTTAAAAGATTCTATTCTTGTGATTCATAGCAAAAGTCCCATAACAAAAAGAAACAGGAGATGAGAGTCTATAATTAAGGATTATCCTTAAACACAGAACTGGTTTTCAGAGAGCTATTTGCATGTCATGCAGTTCAAAAAATCAAAGAGTAAATACCTAGTTGAATAGATGGAGCCCGCAGCATCTGCTTGTAATAAGAGTAATAAAGGCCACATTCTGTCCTGAATGAAATCTCCCGCTCTACTTCCTGTAACGAAACACGCCAGTTAAGATACAAGGAGAAACTTAAGCTGAAGCTTGCCTTAAGTTTTGCTCAATTAGTGCAGCATGGCTAACAAAAATTACTATGTATACAATGGATTTAATATGCACACTACTTTTGCTCAGCTCATTACGGCAATTCCATGCAACAGAGCATCATCCTTCCCAATTCAACCAATGTAGACTGAGAAATTATTCAAGGAGATTTGATAAGTTGATAGAACAGTTACTTAAGCCCAGATGTCTAAGTCCAAAGGAATAGGCAGAAATATGAAAGGCAGTTGTAACTTGCACTTTGGTTTGGATAGGGAGAATATCTGTAAGAGTCAAGAGAAATAAAGTAATGGGATCTCTAAAGAGTATTCTAATAGAGTGGGGCATATAATAGCAATCATGTTCTTGGATATAGCCCACTAATTAATTTAAAATGGCAATTTCAATTAGTCAATTTAAAAACAACCTACGAAAAAATTTAGGGATCGAGTCTGGTTGGTCATGCTTTGAGCAGAACCATTGAAATCTATGGAATGTGACTAACGTAGGTCCTTTTGATTTCAGGGGATTTTGATAAGTCTGGAAACAACCCATATACTTGACACTTGGCAAAATATTATCCACTATGCACTTTTCTCATTGTTTTTCAAAAGAATTTCTATGCTAGAAATGATTTCATTTGAATAACCATACATTTTTAAAAACTCAAATGTTGGAACCTATATTAAAATAATTATGTCTTCTGCTGCTGGACTAAGATGTCTTATTTTCGAAGGAATTTGATTTGCTGGGTTTAGAAGTTGTTTTAAAGCAGTACCAAGTCCTTGTTTTAAAGCAGTACCTTATTATTTTAATGCTTGTGGTTCTGCTAACCTTTACAGTTTATTGTGCAGTGTTTACAATTGTTGAGCAGTGTTTACTAGACTAGAAAGTTTGAATGTAAGTTTTCTGGGTAGTATATAGTCAAATACCCTCTATTCAAACAAAAACCAATAGAGAAAAGGAGAATCAAGATGGCTCATACCAGAACCCCATGAGATTATACTGTGATAAATGCTTTGGATACTCACTTAAGTATCTGAAATACTGACATTTCAGCCAGTTTACAATGATAACACAACTGAAATGTCTATGTTGGATGCATACTTACTTAAACTACAGGGTCAGAAATTAGTGTCTCTGTATTAAAAAATGAAAGGTCTGTGATGCATTTTGGAATTTAGTTTGGAGATCTGAGCATAGAGGGGGATCTAATTAGCAAGAATGTATCAAACATGAATGATTAATTCGTAAGCCTGGCACCAGCTGTATTCAACCAAATGCCGCACTTTATGAGGCAAACACTACTGTTTTACATCTGTTTCACACTAAGATAACATCTGCTTTTTTCATTCACCACACATTTCCAGTTCTATAGCAATTTATACTTTTCCTACAGAATCCTTTCAAGAAAGTGGCCAGAACTATAGATTAGTATGTTAAAATGGATATTTAAATACTCGTGTACAACTTATACATGCAAAACTGATTGTATTATATGCAGTGTTGGCCATGTAAGCCCCACTGTGCTTTGCTGAAAATCTTTATGTTTAATTTTGTTTATATGCTGATCATAAACATTCTTTGGAAATTAAAGGTGGATTCTACAAAGGTACATTGTTTCTCAGTTATAACAAACCTATCCTCAGTCATTAAATGAATGGCTGCTTACTCCATGTAGAGAGTTCTGTAAGAACAAGGCACGCCAAGCTGCAAGGAGATACCTATTGAATATTCGATCATCATGTGCAGTGATCATGAGCCATTAGCTTTTACTAATGTAGATGAGAAGTGCTGGAACTGATTCGCATGTTCACGTACATCACTTGATTTTGCAATACTGAATATTTAATTATTTAATTTATAAATAAAAGTAAATAAAGCCAACCATAAAACCAATAACATCCTTAGGTAGGGAAAATTCAAAAGTAGCAATAAACAACATTTTTAAAGCCAAAAATGAATATGAATGCAGCATGGAGAAGGGACATGTTTAAAATAGAGCTTTAAAATGTATCATGAGTAAAACAAGAAGCTAAAAGGGAGAAGCAGAGAGGGGAAAAGGAAAGAAAGAGGAGGCAGATTGATAGAGGGAGAGAGATTGCAGACAAAAGGAAGGAAAGGGAGGGAGGGGGGATCTGGAGATAGCGAGAGAAAAGCGAAAGCAAGCGGCACATTCACATCCTGCACAAATGCACTATTCACTGGAGCTGTCCCCTTGCAGAGGCTCGGGAGTAGTGCCCACAGGCCCCAAAAGATTGAAGCTTCTTAAAAGGAAGAGACCACTAAAGATGGTTTCTCCAGTAGCTGGGTGGAAGAGAGCCTTCCTCAACCAGGAGCCTACAGATAGTTTGGACATCAATTCCCATCTGCCTCAGTGAAAATGAACCAATTTTAGGACTGCTGAGGGCTATAGTCCAAGGAATCTACAGTGCACCAGGTTGGGGAACGCTATGGTAGGGTACCACTCCAAGGACCTTCTCGAGCCTTCTTCCTCCTCTCTGGTCAAGTTATTTGTCACTGTCAGGATTTGTAACCATTTCTAGCATTCAGTTTGTATAGAAGGGCTTTGTGTACACCTTGATCGAAGAGCATTTGGCACCCCTTCCCTGCATCTATTTTTTGCTTACCTTCTGAATGTTTGTTCCTTATTTTAAATTATACAATCATATTTTTTTCTGCTTATGTGGCCTACTAAGACTTGTCTAAAGGCTGTAGGATTAGCAACACCCCCTGCAGTTAAAAACCCTTTGTTTTTATGCACCATTCTTCTTTTAAAACATAATTCAACACAACATCAGCCGAGCCCCCAAGATATATGGAAAAGCAGAATGATGTATGTATAGTTTTATTTTAATCTACCACACAGAATCATATAAATTGATCTGTCACAATTATGTTTGAGCTGTTGACAAAATTGACAGCTTTTGAATCAAGATATAAGAATAACAACTAAATTTTCTTCTATGACAAACTATAGCTGGGGTTTTGCACTAGTTAAGAATTTGGGAACTAGATCAAGTGAAGTTTTCTAGAACAATGCAATCTAATACACTGAAGACAGTGTATTGCCTTTCAATATGAAAAGCAACAATGTTCAAAAAGGAGCAATGAAAGAATATGACCTTTAAAAATTTAATTCAATTAAGTATGAAATCTCCTCAAGAATCAAAGTGAATGCTAAATTCCAATATTTGGATTAAAATGACCAAGGTCACACAGTGTCCCTAAGTGTTTCAATGTGTTTATTCAGCTTTGATGAAAAAAGCAACAGACTCATTTTTTTACAGTGACTGATCAAATAGGGAAAGGACATTTCATTCTACCAGAAATACAGAATTCTGTGGCTGGAAAGCTGGATCTGAACATAGAAACCTGGGGTTCAGGGCTCACCTTAGCTACAGTAGATAATTACTCTAATATTTTTTTCTATTCAAAATACCAAGCTACTGACCACACTTCCATTCTTTTTCTTGGCATATTTTATATCACCATCCAAACCTGATTTATACTCCCTTGTGAATTTGGGGTAATTTATATGGAAATCACAAACATCACAAAGGGGTTTCCAGACAAGAAACCTGCAAAGTTTCAGAAGCATAGGTATAGGAGCTCGGTTTTCAATGAGTTGGTTTGACTGAAAACCAATTTAACTCCTTTTTGTCATGAAGCATGTTGGTATTGAAAGAATGTCCATATCATGGTCCCATCTTTGCAAACAAAGTTTCATAAAGGTCTAGCTTCCATTTCGACCACTTCAAAGAGAAGCCTATTTTGGCTTAGAAAAGAGGTAATGGAAACAGTCAAAAAGAGTCTGATTTGAGTCAGAGGTCAGTCAAAACTAATACACCTCCTAAATAGGCAACTACATATTATTGTACATCAAACATGGCTTTTACTTTCAATTAACTATCTCCTGTATATCACCTCAGTAAGTCCTCAAGCAAAAATCTGGTAAGTACTGTGGCAGCTGTGGTAGAGAATAAAATGAACGACAGAGATGCTATAGTTGTCTTGAAAAGCTTTGCCATAAACAAACAAACAAACAAACAAACAATATAAATAAATAAGGGCTGTAATTCCAGAAATAGATACAGTATCTTCCATACTGTGAACAATGCCTTAGGAAATAAAAGATGCAATTATAGTCATTCTGTTACCTTGATGTTGGAAAACCATAAATCATTTTCATGTAATGTAGCAACATAAACTGAAGTGAGAATTCCCAGGGAAATGCCAACAATTCCACCAACGATTAATGAAACCTTCTTCCATAGTTTTCCACCTGCAGAAAAGTGTTCTAGTAAATATTCATCATCTAAGATTTTAAATTCTGCCAACACTTGCATCCTGGGTTCTTCTAAAATTAGAAGATTCACACTGATTTAGGCCTTCCAGAATAAAGATCCTCTCAAGGTGACATAAGACAGAATCAAAACAGTAAGATCCACCCATTCGTGGTTTCTTAGATCCAACTAATTATCTATGCGTAGTGTTAATTTGAGAAAGCAGAACACTCAAGAAGCACAGCTAAGTGCTTTTCCTTACGCTTGCTAAGTCTACTGCATAAAACTGTTAATTGCTCCTCTTAACCAACTTCTTAAACACTGGAGGGCGAGCTTCTACTGGCACAGAAGGAAATTCTGAAATACAAATGCACTCAGTGGAACCAAAAACATTTTGGCAGTGTCTCCTTTACTAGAAGAAAGAAATGTGTATATATTTGTAATTTATATACAAACTGGTATGGTGACAAGGTGTTCAAGCTGCATTTGTAAATAACAATACATGAAATATATTATAGGCAAAACATCAGAAAACATTCTTTGTAAATAAATGTTCTACATGGAAATACATGTAGATATGAAGTGAGAAGTTGCTTGAAATACTGTTTGAGAAGAACCTGCTCTGAACCATGGTTAATGCTGGCATCAGTGTAATGCACTCTGAACAATATATGCTTGACAACTCATTTTTAACCAAAAGAATAATAATTCTAGCTAGAAGTGTGTAATGCCTTACTAAAAAGTAACTACAACCTACCAGTGAAAATTTTCCCATTAAATTTCCAGTTCTTTTCCTGTGACAGGCACTCTTCTGGAGCTTCTGTGACTTTTATTCCTTTTCTCTGTCTAATTGTTGACATGATGCCAATAACATTCAAACATTATACTTCAAGCAGGTTCCTATGTATATACACACACAAAGTAATATGGAAACTAATTATGCAGGTATTTAACAGTTTATCACTAATGCAATGCTTAAAATGTATGCAAAATGTTACATTCCCACACATCTCTTTATTTTTGGAGAAGAGCTAAAGAAAAAGTCTTTTTCTTCCATTTTCCCACACAAATAAATTAGGCAAACAATATTGCAATACTGAATACACAGATATATTTGAGATAATTTTCAGACCAGTCAGTATACAGTGTAACGTGTAAACTCCTTAATTTATATCCTAGAAACAGACTAGCTACAAATGCCCTCTCCAAAAGTATTAATTCTGGCTATTTTCTAATATTTTAATTATTCATTGATGCTTTGCCCTATCCTTCTGTAGCAGCTAAAAATATTTTTAAGAGAGAAAAACGCTCACCCACAATCAGTCTAACCCTTAATTTATCAAGACATGTGCCAATTTTAGAATGCTGTAATACAAAACAGAAGCAATGAATAATGGCAATGAAAACTATTTATGCAAAATTTGGAAATAATATAATTTGCCCTTGTTCTGCATGTGCCTAGCTTCAAGAAGGAAAAAGTTCAGTGTATGGATTTATTATGTGGTAATGACATACTCTGTACTTTAGGCCTAGAGAGCTTGTGGCACAGCACATGAAAGGTAACCTGCCAGAACACAACCTAGTGTTCTGCTTTTGCAGCCTGAAGAAAACAGCAAAACTGTGGGACTGAGTGTGGCCTGGAGGGTCACAAGACACATAGGGCATCTGTATCATAGGTTTCACTGTAGTACTGTTAACTGAGGACAAGAATGCTATTTGGCAGAAGAAAAAGGAACATCTTTCTCATCTTTTGCAGTGTTGTACCTGGTAAGTCAAGGTCACAGCTGAAAGGTCAGAGAGCACAAAGCTTTTATACCTTTGCCCACTAACAATGACTCTAAACATTCAAGGAAATTTGTCTTTCAGTGTGTCTGGATGCACAAATAACACCTTTCATATTCACTCTGATATTCTGGATGCAGGTTTTCTTAATGGCTTGCACTAGATGGAGAATATCATGCACTTTTAAAATATACAAGTCAGCATGCCCAACTAGAGATCATCACCTACCAAGAATTTGCAAACTGCTGCATGCTGAAGTAAACTGGGTCATGCTTTGAAGGGTCCGTCCTACCTCAAATCTTCCTTCATCCCAGCAGAAACCTGTTGAAATGGAAGCCATGGAGAGATAAAGAATAGTTGCACCACCCAGGAAACTTGGACTATTAGGTGGTTTAAAAGTGCAATGAATGAATGAATCTAATCATTCTAAGTAGAACAATGAATGAACAAGAGTATATTGGGAATAAAAGAGATGGCTTGGTGTAGGCCAGAGGATACACTTAGCAGACATGGTGTACCAAGTAGTATATGAGTGATCAAAGGCAAAAAGGAAAGGACAGGTGTTTAGAAAATGATCGACAATAATGTGATACAGGAAGAGACGGAATACAAAGAAATGAGCACTGTGATTGCATGGAGCAGAAATGAGGTGCAAAAGGGTGACAGGGAATGCTGGATAAAATAGAGTGTAAGCCCCAAGAGATACAGAGAAAAAAGAAAAATGGGGCATTAAGAGGGTTATCCTATGGCCCCAAGATAATGACCAAAGGATAGCTTAGGTTTCCAGATCCCAGCTCAGACATAAAACTCCTATGTCAGAACTGGTCATCCATATGACAATTTTCTCCTCTTCTCAGAGCTGGCATGGAAAGAATGGCATGGGCTGTCTCTTCAAGGTTGGAAATTCAACCTTGAAAAGCAAGTAAAGGGCGTGCTTTGGCGGTGCCAGGGACTGTAGACTGTGTCCTTGGCAGCCTCCTTACCTTCTACTCCGAAGCATCTCAGTGAAGTAGATGAAAAGGGCTGTCTAGCTAAAATCTAAGCAGAGTTAGGGAGGCAGGGATCATTCCTTCTTCTGCTCTGCAGAGGATGCTCATAAGACTCTAAGTTCAGGGGCTTATGAGCACTGAAGATGCATCCCACAAGATTATGTTCTAGGAGACCAAAACTGATTGGGGACAAAACCACAGGGAGAAATGTATGCATGCACAAGGCATGAGAAGAACATGAACTGGAATTTAAGAAATAAACTACAGATGTAAATTCAAGACTGCTTGAAATACATTAAGTTTAAAGGTAACAGCAGGAGTGATCCTATGTCCCTAGACAGTGTCTAAAGAGCCACAGGATTTTTAGAGTCTCAAATCTGAAACTAGAGCTTGGACTCTGAACTCAGAGCATCTTCCTCCCCTCACAGTCAGTAGAGAAAGTACCACTGGCTGCTTCTCCAAAGATGCAAGAGCCTCCTTCACTTCTACTCCAAAGTGCTGCAGTTAATCAGCTGAAATTATCTGTCTTGTTGGTTTAAAAGATGCGAGGAATATACCATCTTTGCTTCTGTGCTTCTCCTGCCATGCAAAGTATGCCTGCAATCCTCTGAATTCAGGTTTATGGACATTTCCGTTGGTGTGTTTCCTAAGTCAGTGCTAACTCTCCACTTTTGCACACAATTAAAAATAGTTAAATAAGGTTGCCAGCCTTTTTCCATAGATGGTTCCTATGCCTTTAACACCTACATTAATTGTAGAACTTTAGGAATGAAAATTTCCCTAGAATTCCATTGCTAGGCCAAGAGGAGAACCAGCTGCCGAATTTCTGCTAAAGGCCCTGCCAGGAAAAACAAATTAACACAACTATTTGGCAACATGGATGGTAAAGGAGCTGGATCTTTGCTGAGTCCAAGAAGCACTCTCAATCAAGGAGGAGATAAGGATGGCACTTCTGTCAAGCAAACTGCCAGTACTTCAAGGAAATGTGAAGTGGTAGTAATGGGGACTTCAATAATCTCAATGTTTGTTGGGAGACAAACTCTGCCAAAAATTTCCCTCCAAGAAATTCTTGACATGCATACTGGATAACTTTCTTTTACAGAAAATGGAAAAGGGAGCTAGAGGATTGGCTATCCTTGATTTAATTCTGAGTAACAGGGATGAATTCATGGATAAAGTGGACATTTGGAAACTCTGGAGGAACTCAACGTATCAGTTCTTCATTTTAAAGGAAGCAAAAATGTAGTATAGCCATTCACATACTCTGGACTTTGGGAAAGCTGATTTTAATAAGCTCAAGACAATGATAAGTAAGGTCCTGTGGCAAGTGACCCTAAAGTAATAAGGAGTCCAAGATGGGAGGGAATTTTCAAAAAAGGAAATTGTAAAGGCATAATTAGAAACAGTTTCAACCTAAAAGCCAGCAATGACAGAAAAAAAACAATGCGGCTCCACACAACACTTCAAGCTGAGCTAAAAACAAAAAAGGACACGTATAGTTAGGGGAAAGAAGGTCATGTGAGAAAAGAAGAATACACACAAGTGGAGCAGAAGTGCAGGAAGGGCATCAGGGGGGCTAAAGCTGAGAATGAGCTGAGGATAGCACGGGACCCTAAAAGCAGCAGAAAAGCTTTGCTGGGTATGTTCACAGTAAGTAGTAAAGAAATGGCGGTTTAACTTCTCAATGAAGAGGGCAAATTGATCATATACAGCAAAGAAAAAACCAAAGTGTTCAATTTCTACTTTCAGTCTTTTCCCAAAAGCAGGTCTATGTCAGAAATTAAGTACAAAATGAAGGGTCAGAATTGAACTTGAGATTAATAAACAAATGGTCAAGGAACACCTATTTTTCGAATGAGTTCAAATCTCCAGGGCCTGATGAATTGCACCTTAGAGTAATAAAGGAACTGACAGAACTCTCAGAGCCACTGTCTGTTATCTTTGAGAAATCATGGTGGGCATGGAAGTTCCAGATGACTGGAAAAGGGCTAATGTCTCTGCTTTCAAAAAGGGCAAAAAGCAGGATCCTGGGAACTACAGAGCAGTTAGTCTGACATCAATCTCTATGAAAATTCTGGAACAGATTGTAAAGAAGTCAGTCTGTAAGCACCTTGATGGCAATGGAGTAATTACTAGAAGCCAGCATGGATTTATCAAGAACAAGTCTTGCCAGACTAATCTGATCTCATTTTTGTTGACTTTGGAAATACTGTGGACACAATATATCTTGCTCTTAGCAAAGCTTTCAACGAAGTGTCCCATGACATTCCTCATCGGGAAACTAGCTAAAAATGGGCTAGATGGAACAGCTATCAGGTGGATCCATAGTTGGCTACACAATAGGACTCAATGCTTCCCAATGGCACCTTTTCAGACAGGGGAGAGGTAATGAGCAGGGTACCACAGAGTTCAGTCCTGGGCCCAGTACTCTTAATTTTTTTTCAAATCAATGATTTGGATGGAGAGGCCCAGGGAATGCTGATCAGATTTGCAGATGACACAAAATTGGATGGGACAGCTATACCCTAGAAGACAGAAACAAAATTAAAGGTGATATTGATAGGCTGGAGCCCTGGGCTGAAAGCAACAAAATGAAATTCAATAGGGAAAAATATTGAGTTCAACACATAGTAAAGGGAACCAAATACACTGTTAGAAGATGAGGAATACTTGGATCAACAATACTACATGCAAGAAGGATCTTGGAATTCTTATAGGCAGGTTGAATATGAGTCAACAATGCAATGTGGCTACAACCCCCCCCCCCCAATGCTACATTGAGCTGCATTAATAGAAGTATAGCTTCCAAATCACATGATGTACTGGTTCCCTTCTATTCGGCACTCGCTAGGTCCCATTTTGAGTACTGTGTCCAATTCTGGGCACCACAATGTAAGATGCAAACAAAGTGGAAAATTTTGATGATCAGGGGACCGGAAAGTTCTCTTCTGTTATCCCAGCGTACAGGAACATGGAATAATGGGCTTAAGTTACAGGAAGGCCAATTCCGGGTAGACAGCAGGACACATTTCTTGTCAGAGTAATATGGCAATGAAACTAATGACTTAGGGAGGTGGTCAGCTCTTCCACACTGGTGGTATTCAAGAGGCAGTCATCTGTCAGAGATGTTTTTAACTTGGAGTCCTGTATTGAGCAGGGAGTTGGACTTGGCAGCCTTATAGACCCGTTCTATCTCTACTATTCTATGCTTCTATGCTGATTACAATCTTGCTAGTAAAAGCCGATAGGGGACTAGTGGGGATTGTTAGTATACCAGGTAACAGAAAGAAAAGTAGCCATGTGTGTTACAGGAAAAACAACAAAAACAACAAGGTGTAGCAACTTAAAAGACAGATATATTGAGACATATGCTTCTGTGAGCTGAAAAACACCTCTTACATTTCATGGCCTTTTGTCCCACCTACTTACAAATCTTCTCTCCTCTGCACTTACATATATGCACATTTTATCTCCCAAGTAAAGATAACTCTCCATGTATCTGGCAAAGTGGGTTCTGGTCTAGCAATGGTTATGCCTCAATAACCCTGTTAAAGATGCGACAAAATCCATCCCAGAGCAAGAGCAATGGTGCATTTAAGTCACTTTTGATGGAGAGCAAGGATTTGGGGCAATAGTACCAGCAACATTTATTGATTTATGATTGATGTCAGATGGGATGCTGTAGATGGGCTATAACATGACTCGTATTTAAGTTTTATTTATTGGGACACAAACCTTTACTAGAGTAGAGCCTGTTGCATCAGATTCATGAATTTCTACCTTCCCTTCACATGCGTATTGTGGGAGGGGGCATTACTGGGCTTAAAAGACCATGAAATACAAGAGTTTTAGTCTCAGATATTTCTAAGTGAAGCTCAAACGTATGGGAAAAAAGCACAGAGTCTGATCACCACACTGGGTGAATTCGTGTCAGCCATACTTATGGTTGTTGTGAGGAAGAACCATGCAATTTGCTTTAGGCCTGGAGGAAGGAAGATGAAGTATTAACACAACTCATATCTAAATGCTATTGACTTAAGGCAAATTAGATCCCTTACTTTCACAGTAAAAACAGCACCATGGGCGCATCAGATTTAGTGTAATGGGAGCTTTGGTGGAGTCCGCTTGTCCAAGCACAACTAAATGCAAGCTCACCAAAACTTCTGCCACAGTAAGGCCAGCTGGAATCATAAGGTTCAGTCCCACTGAATGCAAAGGGATTTGCTTCCGAGGAGACACGCTTGAACTGTACAATTAACCAATTCTATGCACCTTTATGGAACAGTAAATCCTGCAAGGTACAAGTGTCCATAAAGATGCTTACTAGCTCCAGTGAACACTGTGCATCCACACAAAATACACTTCGGATCCTTTCAAGAGAAACAGCTCCACTTATGCAAGGACCCTCCACTGGATTTGGGGGATCCTTTTCCCTTTCCACAGCTCACTGGGTCTCCCAGCTCTCTGCTGCTGCATTTTCAGGGGGCGGTTGTGGGGCAGACCCCACCGTGAAGCCCACTTCTGCAACGCAAGGGAGCCACCCTAAACCTGGACCCCCCCCCCACTCTCGCAGCTGCCGCACCTTTGCAACGGAGCGGCAAAGAAGCAGAGCAGCCCTGCTCCCACCCCGCCCGCCCGCGGCTGCCCGGGGCACGAGGGGCAACGACCAGCGGGGCAGGGCCGCGGCCGGGGAAAGGCGTCCCCGCGGCGGCGCCACAAGGGAAGGGGTGGGCGCTGCGCCCGCTGCTGCGCGGCGAGGGGGCTGAGCGCGCCCCGGGGAGGCCGTCGCCCTCGGACCGCGTCCGAGCACCGGGGTCCCTCCGCGCGGGGGCGGCAGGCCACCCCAAGGCGCGGGTCCGCCCGGGAGCCGCGGGCGCGCCAGGGGGCGTGCGCGACCCGGGCTGAGCTCGGTCTTGCGGGGCTGCCCTGCCCCGGCCTAGGCCGGCGATCGCCGCCGCCGCCGCGCCGCCCCCGGCCCGGTCCCCCTGCCTCGCCCTCGCGGCCTGCGCCGCCCGCCTCAGCCCGCCCGGGCCCCACCGCTCCCTACCTGCGGACGGGCTCCAGCGGCGGCTCGTCGGGTCGCGTGTGCGGAGCGGGACGGGAAGGGAAGGGGAAGGAACCGCCGCCGGCTCGTCGTCCCTGCTCCTCCTCCTCTCCTCCTCCTCCTCCCTCGGCGATGAGGGCGGGCGGCGGCGAGAAGGGGGGGCGGTGGTGGGCCGTTCTCGGGAGGGGAGGGGAGGGGAGGGGAGGGCGGCGGGGGCGGCCTTGGGGGCAGGGCTCCCTGGGGAAGGCGCAGGGTGGCCCCCTCGCTCCCCGTTCGAGTTGCACGGCTAGCACTGGCAACCATTTCGGTTTAAGCACCCAGGTTTTTCCCAGCCGTTTTATGATTCGCCTGCCTCCCGCCGCCTCCTGCAAGGCATCCGGAGTGGCTTACTAGTCAGTCCGCTTGCTCTCCATCTTATTTTATTTACTTAAACCATTTTTATGCCGCCCCATTCGCAAAAAGCCTCGCAACAGCCCTGCGAGGGAGGTTAGGCTGAGCTTAAGGGCTAGACGAGAGCGAGGACCTAGAGTTCCCGAGTCCCTGGCCAAATGCCATGCTGCACTGGCTCACATATGCTACGCTCAACATCTATTACTGGTATGTGCCATCAGGTCATCTCATCTCCGACTATTGGGACCCTACGGATGAACGCCCTCCAAAATGCCCGGTTATTATTGCATTGCATCTATAGCCCACCTTTCTTCCTCTTGCAGAGTAGGATGCAGACTCTGAGAGCGGCTCTGAAGTGGCATGTGGTTCTCGAGCTGAAACGTCCGCATCCCTCCTTTATGTGTATTGTAGCGAAAGGCAGGCCCCTAACCCAGAGAGTGTACGGTCCAAGTCATCACAAAGGAGGCAACAGAAGAAAATGAAGGCAGGTTAAACAGTTTCTTTACATGTTATAATTAATGCATTCCCTGCTTTGATCTAATCGATCGAGCCGTCTTTTGCTCTGTTCAGTGCAGTCTATATTGCCATCACCACATATCCTTTGCCTGCTGTGTCACAAGGTAGGGACACTGTCTACAATTTTTAATACTAAAAACAATGTAAACACCACAACTTAAACCCAGCTCCTGTGCCTTTAGAGGCCAAATCATGGGTGGACACTCGTTCACCACTGATCTGGTGAATGCCTGGTGTCTATAACTTGTACAGATTAAATCGTGGCAACTGTAGTTGCATGTGATGGTGTGAAAATTGAAAGCTATGTTGATTTCTCCATGGTTACTGTAGAAAACTTGGTTAGGGAGAATTGGGTTAAACTGCTTGGGGAGCTGTGCCAGATGTACATTTATAAGGTGCCAGTATTGTCACTGCGTCTTTGTGTGGGACATCTCCATGCTCTATTGTTAGCTGGGATGCTGGAGCTCATAAAGACACAGGAACCCAGCAAGTTGGGGCTATGGAATTGGGATGTGAGATTATGGGGCGGAAGAACCCTGCATTTGGCTGTGAAGTGCTGAATGGCCATGGCATTGCTCAATTCCTTTAGCTGAAAGTAATACTACATCATTTATTATAAAAGCAGTTTCATAATGCCTACTCTTTTTTTCAAGATGAAAAGTTGCAAAATACCCCCTTCATGAAAGTTTCAACCCCGCAATTGTAGTGTGCTAGTAGCAGTGCAGCAGCAGCTGTGTGTGTGGAAAACCAGGCCATTCCTGGATTACTTTTTTTTAAATAAGGCTACTGGTGATGGGAAATAATTTCATTACTTTTGGAGGAAGTATGGGGTGGGAGAGGAGTTTCTTAGGGGTTCCTTATTATTCCACACCGTCATTTAAACTTTGTTAATAGGGCAGAGTGCTGCAGGAGTTTTCACTCTGAACCAGATGAAGGCAGCTTGTACAGTTCCAACAAGCAGAAATAGGCAGTTCGTATCTTCCCTGGTAGCTTCCCTGAGGTTACTATTAGAAACCAAACAGTGAATGAATACAAAACAATAGATGAGATAGATCTTTGCAGGACAATTTGTAAGGAAAGACAGAATTTTACAGAGGGCCTTTTCTGTGCTGGTACCAAGGCTCCTTCCCTAGGAATAAGTCTGGCATCATCATGGCTGCTTTCGGGGCGCCAGATCAAATATGCAAGAGCTTGGCAGAAGACATGGAAGTACAGGCCAGAGGATCCGGCTTCCTTTGTTCTCTTAATTCTCCATGACCAATCCAGTTTTCTTTTGTTGAATGCTTTTTTTATGTGGGAAAGGGTATTGGTCTGGTTAAATACCTACAGTAGCAAGGCAAAGCTTTTATACATGTACCTCCTAAGGATAAAAAAGTTGAATAATCCACATGCATCAGTCTAATATAACTGCTCATAATCAATTGCCTAGCTTGAATGGTAGCAAAATACCAAGTTAGATTAGAATCACCAGACGAACAGGAAAGAAACATCAGTTTACTCCTAAATGTAAGCTCACACAGCTTGTGAAGTGCAGCTGAATAGATTATTAGACATGCAGCCCAACCTTCTGCAAGCAGATGCTGCTCATTTGTGTTGGACTAAACTTCCAGCCTTCTTGCATCCTTGTTGACTGGCCATGCTGGCTGAGAGTGATGGAAAATGCAAACATTTGGAGGGCGCCAGGCTGGGAAAAGGTTGCTGCAGTCTGAGGTGTTTTTGACAAACATTCTCGCTTTTGCAGTCCCAGGCAGAGAGCGATATCAAGTTGCAGGTGGGCCAAATATGGTTTAGTGCAGAAGCTCTTTCAGCTTGGGTTGCACTGCAGCGGTGTAAGAGGTAACCCTCCCTCCCAAATGCCATCGTATTTTAGCCTAGAGTTCTTACTATCAGTAACTAAGCCTCAGGCGAAGCAGTATTTTAATGTTTTAGAATGGAAGATTGTGCAAAAACTGGAAAACCGACAGTTGATGGTTGGGAAGTGAGAAAGGAGGCTTAGCCACCATGAGATGGATCTGAATCTCTGGACCTAGCTTAATATACCCTGGCTTAGTAGGCCACAAGCTATACAAGGCTACTCTGCTGATGGTGAAAGTGCAAAGGTGGGCAAAAATATCTACAGTATTTACTTAGTGCTTTATTGTTCAAATGAATACCATATATCACCTCAGTATTTCATTAAGAAACCCTTTAACATAGGTAGTATTCCCATACTAGGGAAGGTATCTGTAGGATTAAAACAAAAACAATAGGAAAACTACAATGACAAACGAAGTAAAGCTTTCCTCTGTTTAGTTCTTAAATGTCTATAATTCTATCAAGAGCACAGTATTGATGTGTTCAACATAGGAGTTTATTACCAAAATACAATTAGTCAATACATGACAAAACTTCTGTAAAGCAAAATAAATTATTCTAACAATGTACAGTATTTCAGAAGGTAGTCAAAGTAGTACTACAAAGTTTGCTTCCATAGTTTCCAAACAAGACAATTCTAGAGAGAACTTAAGGCATGCAGCTTAATGTGCGGAAAATATTTTATAAAATAAGCCATCCTATCAATAAGATACAGCAAGAGAGATTCCTGCATTTTTTACATGTCAGTTTTCTAAAAGTTTTATACTTTGGCTATAAAAAGCAGTGCCATGGTATTACAATTCCTTTTCTTAAAAAAATATATGTACCCATGCCCATGAATATCAAATGCAAAATTCTATTAAATATATTTTAACATTACTTTGAGCACCAGCTGTACATTTTATTTTAATGATTAAATAAGTGCTTTAAAATACAGTAACTGGCTGAACCCCAGTCTGTCTTTCAAACTAAGGATAACATGTAGTGCTGCAAGGAAAACAGCCTCTATTGGTGAAGCTACTGAAGCCACATTGAACTGGAAAGCAAGTCCCACTGATTTTAATAGCATGTTTCCAAGCAAGTTCCTATAATGAAATCAAAGGGCTGGTTCAGGCAGAGCGTGGGTTAGCCTACTGGAGCAAAGAGAAGTGGTTTGCATCAGCTCATTGCACATAGTAGGAATGGCAGTCTTACCTCCGAACCTGCTGAGATCTCCATGTGTTGGATGCAATAAATGCAGAGTCCACACATATATCCATATGAATGCAGTATCCATATCATTTTTGTGCAGATAGGCCTGACGTAAACACTGCTTTTCACATGCAGATATCCTGCAGGTCTGAAGTCAGGAGAAGGCAGGGTATGCAAGTATGATTCCACGACCCTCATGGATACACACCCTGGCTAGCCTGCCTCACATTTGCGCAGTCCAAAAAATGCAGCACAAAGATCCGTTAGAATGGTTCCCCCCACTGAATACAAATGGATGAGAACCACTCTGTAAGGATACAATCTGCACCACATCTGTCTCAAAATAATTTCAGCTGATTTCAGTGAAATCTGCTTCCGAGCAAGTTTATGTAAGTATTGAAGCTGGAAATGTAAATGGAAAGTTTGTCCATAATGGAATCCTAAGAATGATCAGCAAAGGCTGAAATTATAACGCAGAGCACTGAAACTGCTCCTACATAAATTAATAATAAAACCAAATACAGTATAGTTAGGCATGAATCCAAGCATTTTATCTTACTTATACCCTAAAACTGATGGGAAGACAAGCCATATGTTTGAAAAGTGCTTTTAAACCTCAAAAAAGCAGAAATCGCCCATACTCAAATAGCTACCCCCCAACACTTTTCAAGGCAAGAAACATGATCAATATTCTAGTTTCAGGCTTCTATGTGACAAGTGTATACATTTGAGGAATGAACTGAGAGCAACATGGACACTAAAAGGGAAATGTCCGTAAGCAGTATGCTTATATCCTGTGCAAATGACAGTATTATCAAGCTTTTTGTATTGAGGATATAAAGATGTAACCCCCAAGCATGTTTAGATAGAAAAAGGCCTACAACTGCCAGCATGTCCTCGCTTAGGAGTTGTGGGCCCCTTTTTCTGTCTAAACATGTATAGGACTGCAATCTAATTCCATCAATTAAAAAATCCATTTACTGTTCAACAGTAAAGATTACATAAACCAAATTCAAGTCACTTGTTCCTCACATACGGAGTTACTTTAAAAGGTTTAGATGCCTAACAATTGATAGTTAACTTCCATAAGTACCTATTTTATATGTTCATATATTCACAATTTTCTTCGAGTAAAGAAGCATGATCCAATATGGAAAAAAGGGTTCATGGCTAAGACCTACCACCATTAATTTGGAAGATAATTTAATCTGTTACTTCGGTAATTTTTTAAACCAAACTTTAAACTAATTGCAGTAAGTAGATGGTATAAAGATAGGAGATGGAGTATCAATACACTTTGTACAAGCTTAATATTAAATAAATGTTTATTTTGGATTTTCTATCTCCTTTTGATGTAGCAATGCTTCAAAATATCTAGACAAATGAGGATTATAAAAAATTGTTATAATACTACTTCTGAGTGAGCTACTTCTAACCAGTCTGAAGAATATTTTAGTGTCAACTTGTTGTTTACTCTCCATTTTGCTGCTAGTGGAGATATTAAATAGTTGCCCAATCACTTCCTGCTTCTCAGTGCACTGGAAGTCGATACTGTGAATATAAATGCAATGCAAAAAGGTAACAATAATAGCCAAGTGTACTTAATCAAGCTTTGTGACTGAAGCTCCTTCTAATTAGTCTTAATAGTTCATAGCAAAAAAGTTAAACACAGTATCCTGAATATTAAACATCCCCCTCAATTTCTCTCTACACGTTTTTTCCTCCAGAGCAATGCAAATGTGCCCACATTTTAAATATTATCATTTATTTGAAATATTTTTGTAAATGACAACCTGGCTGCTACTTTCAACGTACTGATGCATATAATTTGAAACAAAACTGATAGAACAAGGGGGTGCTCTGACCTTGGAGCTGGAAACTGGAGCTCTTCCCCACCCCCTTGCAACTGGAAAGAGCCATGCTGACTGCTTTTCCAGGGTTGGGAGAGCGACCTCAGAGAGTGGTTAAAGGGGTGTTTTGGGGGCAGTGGGGGAGACCGGAGCAGTCAGGAGATGAGTTATCTTGATGGTCCTCCAACCTCCTCCTCTCCTGCTCTGAAATTCCATTGCTAGAGGAGTGGAGGGTGGTGGTACAAAGATTGCATTCACTACTCATTCTGCTCTGCACTGAACAAGCACGTACCTCTGAGGTCAAGAACTTGCACTAATCTCCATAGGACTGTGCACTAGGTAATCAAGATGGAGAATGCTTAAGTCTGGGTAGTCTTACAAAATACTTTGAAAGACTTCTGAATTCAGCATTTAAAACTTGGAAATTATATACAAAATCATTTTCCATTTGCCCAGCTTCACAGTTCAGAAATGTTAGCAAAAGCCCCCAAACTCAATTAGCACCATGTGAGCTTCTAGCTTATTTCTGCTAAAATATTATAAATAGATAATAAATACACAAGAAATATGTTCTACAGTTCTTGAAATATAATTCAGATTTGTATACCATCTGTTGTTTAGTAGAATAAATGAAATGCAGTGCATGGCACGACCGAAATAAAGCATGGCACTAATTTCTTGAAGAAAATGTAAATTGGCCACAATTCTGCTTAACTCCCACTGAACTTAATGGGAGCTACACAGCTGGACTGTCCTCAGGATTTCAGCCAAAGACAGAAGCTCAAGACATTTAGCAAGGCGGGAAAGCGTGTGCTTTTGGGGGCAAGTATGCTAACCACATGGATGACTTTTAGTGGCAATTATACAATAATGCCACAAGATTAGCCTGTTTATGGTAACCTCCGGTGCTGATGGGATGGATCCCAAACTCTTCTGTTGGCAGCAGCAGCCTGTGAGCAGAATTCCTCTCCAAAGGCTCCCGCTGGTGGAAATGGGGGATTTTCATTTTGCCCCACAGCTTCTATTGCCACCTCGCCCACTGTTCCAAAGGGTCTCCCAGTCCTCTGAAGTAGGTTTTCGTAAACCATAGGGGGAAATTGAATAAAATATCTTTTTCCTTCATTCTGCCAGTGCAACTGCTTCACTGCATCAGTAACCTTCTGTGGGTGGAAGTCCTTCCATCTTTGGGGGGTAAATTCTGTATCAAACCCACTGTGTTTCCACAGTAGTTCTAAATACCTGGATTTTGAAATGTCGACTGAGATTTGATGAAAAACAGACAACCCCCCCCTTTTGGGGGGGGTTGTTTCAAAGCCTTGTTTAAAGGCTACCCATGTTCCTTCCTCCCCTGATTTGCTGCTCCAAATGCTGAGATGGCTGCTTACATATATAGGTAATATTAAGAGGTTCTGGTGAACTTTCTGGGTCCAACAAGACACATTTAGGTACATATTCAGAACATCTCTTCTTGTAGCATCTGATACTGAGAAAACAAAATCTAGCCAGCTAAGTAATTAGCAGCATACCAACTTCGGTTATAAGCAGGAACAGGCAAGTAACTGATCTTCTCTGAAAAAAAGTAATTATGCTAGGAAAGATAAGGCCAAGGAAATTACTGTCTTCCCTCCGTTCTCTCTCTTTCTCTCTCTCTTTAGAAACTGCTGCTTCATAATCTTATAGTCAGCCATGTCAAGCCTTTTGCTTAATTTTCCTGAAATGAATTTGACACCTTTTATATAGTTTCAAGGCAGGAAGGTTAAACCCCTTAAGTTAACACCTAGTGTGACTTTCCTATTATACTTCTTCTATGCTTTGGATTAGTAATAGGCATTGAAAATGGCTCTGTCAGCTGGGGATAACATTTTCAGTGCCCATTTAGCATACATGGAGTGTTTACTGTTCAGCTGCTTCAACACCTTGTGAAGTTATCTATTTTCATTTTGATACAAAGGCTTCAAAATTTAGAGATATCAACGGGATTGTTTTTACTCACAATTCTTCTCTTTAGCAAGTACTTCTGGCAATGTTAGAGAGCAGGAAAACAGCACTTTAAGGAATTGTTTAAAGAGGCAACTTCATTTAGTTTACGCTCTGAGCTGTGGCATGCTCTTTGTTCAGAATTATGTTTATAATTTCACCTTCATGTTCCTTCATATGATCCAACAAATTCTCTTTGTTGGTGGATTCAAATCCGCAGATACAACAGCAGAAGAGCAGAACGCAGTATTCTGTGCCAAAGTGGGACAGGCTAGTGGTTTTGTCAGAATTGCATGAGGTATTCATTGAAGTAGGGTTCAGATTTTCATCAGAACTTGTGGTTTTGTTAGCAGTCTGGTTAGAGGAGTCCAAAAACATCAAGCCTTCTGAGTTACTTGTCAAAAGAACAGAACTGTCTTCAGAGCTTTCAGTTACCATCTTCCCAGGCAGCTGACCTGGGAACCTAAGAAAGGAAGTACTTTCTGTTTACTATATGAATATTGAGCAGAGGGCAGTTCTCCCATGCTAAGGTCCAGCACTATGCAAGATTTAGAGATCCTCACTCAAGTTAACATTCCACGAGTTCTGTTCAATATTTCCTGAACAACAGCTCTCATTATGACCCTCATCCTTTCCTCTCATTGCCACAAATCCCCAAGCTGATATTTAAACTCCCATCAGTAAGAAATGTTGTGGCGGTGTGCAAAAATTGGCTATTAGGAAATCAAAACCAGTACCTTTACCTTATGGTTCCCTATGTGCAAATTTTGAGTCAGTTTGTTTGACTGAGGCTATGGTTAGACAATCAGGGACCCGGGATATCCGGCATCTAAGTCCCTGCTTGGCCAAGAAGATCACGGAATCACTTTGGGCCACTCAGCCTAACCTACATTACAAGGTCTTTGTTGCTGGGGATACATAAGCTTCCTTGGGTTCCTCACAGGAGGAATGCGATATAATAACAATTTGTTTACCAAACCGCTCTCTGAATGTAGGGAAATAAAGGTGCAGTCCTATGCATATTTAGACAGAAATGTACTATCAACAGTGATACATGCCCTGGTAACTTCCTGGCTGGATTCCTGTAACGCACTCTTTGTGGGGCTGCCCTTGAAAACGGTCCAGATACTTCAATTGGTACAAAGCAGAGCTGCCAGGTTGCTGTCAGGGGCCAGTTGTTATCCCCATATAAGGCTGGTCCTCTATCAGCTACACTGGCTCCCCATTGAAGTCTGGACCCAATTCAAGGTGCTGGTATTAACCTATAAAGCCCTAAACAGCTTAGATCCAGAATACCTGAAGGATCGTCTCCTCCTCTATATGCCCTCATGCCCCTTAAGATTGGCGAGGGAGGCCTTGCTCCAGGAACCCTCCTTGAAGGAAGTATGGAGGGTGTCTACATGGAGGAGAGCCTTCTCCGCATTGGTGCCCAGACTATGGAATGCGCACCCCAGAGAGGTCCACCTGGCGACGATGTTATGCTCCTTCCGGCGCCAGGTAAAGACCTTTTTATTCAACCATCATTTTAATAATCAAGATTTTTAGATGCTTTTCTCTGTTCTCACAGTCACATTTTCTATTTTTTCCTTCCTTTTCTTTTAGTTTATAATGCTCAGTTCTATATATTTTTAATAATTGCAGTATTGTTATCATATTTTATACTATGTAAGCCATCCTGAGCGCTTGCACGGAAGGATGGGATATGTTTGCAATAAATAATAAATAAACTTCCACATTCTCCAGCCAACCATGCTGGGAGTTTGCAGGATATTTTTTAACAAAAGATTTAGGACTGCATCTTAAAACCTTGTGTGTTTCACGACAATTAGAGGATTTGTTGAGGGACTGAGAGCTGCCCAAAGCAAACACTCTAAGGTAACTATCTATTGTAAAGTAACTGACATGTTCATATCTTTTGGATTGGATCTTATATTACAAATCATAAGCCCCAAATATATACACACCTCCCACTTTGTGAAATCGCATCATTAATAGCTTTGTTCACTTGTTCATAGTTATAATTTTGGTCACTTGCATGTTTCCACATGTGCGACTTCAGAGAAGGAGGATGGCTACACACATATCCACAAAGAGCACATCTGGAACAGAAAATGTAAGAAGCAAGGGTGGTTATAACTCAAAACAGCAAATCAGTATGTCTTGTCCAAAATGGTCACATTGTAGAGGTATTACACACCATCTAATTTCCGTTCAGACGTGGTTTAACCAGCACCACACTTTTAAATGATATTTTAAAGGACCATATACTAGACATCTATTCCAAAAAGTAATTGTCAATGTTATACACAGTTCTATGCCAAGGCAAGCTGGATAACTAGATATTAGTTGCTATAATGAGGAGCAACAGGTTTGAAAGCCAGAGGGCGAAAAAGTGCACATGTGAGACAAATTAGGGGTATGCAGAATATTCTCACACTAAGGATATGTTCCAGATACATTTGGGAAAAACCACTACCAAAGACTTAATCAAAATGATGTGGGAGAGGAGTCAACTATTCTGAAAGTTACTAAGTATCCAAATCTATCTAAATGGGCACAACATTCATTCATTCAAAACATTGATATCCTGTCTTTACCTCAAACAGGTTTCAAGACATTATTACCCTCAGCCCTTCTTAAATAAATTCCTTAGAGGAGCAGAAAGAGAAGGCCTTAACTCTATGGCAAAGTTCAGGTTCAGTCCTTGGCTTCTCCAGTTAAAAACAAGGCCAGTGGTGGGAAAGACCTCTGCAGGGGATGTTGAAGAGCTGCAGTCAGACAGCAGAAAATATTGATCTGTGAGGATCAATAATCTAGTCTGGGATTATACAAAATATTGATCAAATTGCCAAAACAAAATACAGCTCCCATCTCTTCTTCTCCAAGCCCCACTTGATCTGGAGTAAATCAGAGCCACTTCCAGAACAAATTCCAAGAACCAGGGCTCATCCCTGGAGGATAAAGATAATAAGAATGTATAATACGAGCTGCAAAATATATTTCTTTCATCACTTAGGAAGCCCTTTGAAATATATTTAGAAACCACCGATGGCTTCCAGAACTCAATCACTCATCTCTTCTGTGGTTATTCACTGTCTGAAACCTCCTGAATAACAGGCTGTAACAGCAGCAATGTATGAAGAATTTCAAAAAGACAGTTGCATAAACCAATCTGGTTCTCCACGACACCATTGGGGCAGGTTATCTGAAGGTATGGGCTGGGGCGCCATCTATATGCAGATGACACTCAGCTCTACCTTTCTTTTTCATCAAACCCAGGTGCGGCAGTGGCTGTTCTGAATCTGCTTGGGCTCATAATGGACTGGAGGAGGCCAATAAACTGCGACTCAGTCCAGGAAAGACGGAATTGCTGTCGGTGGGTGGGTCGTCTGTCCACCTGGGAGAGGTTCAACCTATCCTGGGTGGGGTCACACTCCCTCTAAAGAACAAGGTGTATAGTTTGGAGGTGCTCCTGGGCCCAGAATTGTCACTTGAGTCACCGATGGTCTTAGTGGCACAGAGCTCCTTTTATCAGCTTAAAGGCTGATTTACCAGCTATGACCCTATTTGGACAGACACAGCCCAGCTACAGTAATCCATGCTCTGGTGACCTCGTCTGGACTACTGTGATGCATTCTATGTGGGGCTGCCTTCGAAAATGGCTCAGAAATGTCAACTGATGCAAAATAAGGCTGTTAAGAGGGACTGGCCAATGAAATCCTATTATGCTGATCCTCCTTTAGCTGCACTTGCTGCCAGTTCAAGTCTGGGGCCAATTCAAAGTGCTAGTATTAACATTTAAAGCCCTAATAGCTTGGTGCCAGATTATCTGAAGGAATGCCTCATCCTGTATGTACCACCTGGGCCCTGTAGAATCCTTCTTGGGCAGCCCCCTCCTAAGGAAATAAGGGGGGGTGACAACGTGGAGAAGGGCCTTTTCAGTTGTGGCACCCCATCACTGGAACAAGCTCCCCAGAGAAGTATGCCTGGCCCCATAGTCTTTTTTTGTTTTTCAGTTGCAGGTGGAAACCTTTTTATTCACCAGGTATTTTAACAGTTAACTCTTTAGTCTCAAAATTGTTTTAATTAGAGATTGCTGCTGTGCCTTTGTGCCAACTTCTTTAATTGTTTGGGTATGTTGTTAGTGTTGTCATTTTGTATTGGCCTATCATTCTATTGTTTTATTGTGATAGTTTTTCCCCATTTCTTTGTTTTTATCCTCTTTTACCATTGAAAACTGCCCAGAGAGCCTTTTGGTTATTGGGTGGTATAAAAATGAAATAAATAAAATACAATATGAATAAATTTCTGAGCAGATCTGCACAGAGAGCTCACGAATCATAATCTCCAGCTATTTAGCCAAATAACAAAATCACAGCTGCTACAGCCTTTGCCAAGTTGTTGGATACTCACTTGAACTGCTCCATTAGCTGCACTGCCTGGTGCTCCTGTGGGTGGCGCCTCATATGACATTTCAAACTATTCATGTTAGTTGTGGCGAAATCACACACTCGACATCTGAAGAAGAACAAAGAAGCAACTGATTCCAAACACTCCTAGCAACTTGCCAATATAAGCACCAAGAGGAATAAAGGGCATTGTGGAAAGAGCAACAGATCATGATGGCTATTTATAATTCATCCTGGAATCCTACCAATTTAATTGGTAAATTTATTAGGCGACATGCCACAAATTAAGGGTGTCCGGGCTCTTGGCTGGCTGCTTCAACTGAGATCTAGTGTTCCATCCATGCAGAAGTTCTAAGAGATAAACCTTCAACAGCATCACACAAATGATGAGCTCTCTGGATAGTTGTGTTCCATTACCCCTTCTCTGCGGTCACTTTTCTGACCTCGGAGCAACAGGTGGCACAGTTTTTTCTGACAGCTGCAGGGAGGGAGGGTCAGAAAAGGGAATCAGGGTAAGGGTCTCTGCTTCAGAGGCTGGGGCTCTGTTCCTGACTTTGGACCTGGGAAACAGGAGAATCCTATGCCTAGCCACACTGCTCTTTAGGAGGCCATAGGACAGTTCTGTAAGGATAGTATGTTATGCAGTGTTGGAATAAAAAAAGCCCTGCAGCTCCCCACGGGCACTTTAGCAAATCTAAAGCATTTCTTCTTCTCAGAACTGTATGACAAGTATGTACGTCAAGTAGTTGCTTATGCAATTACATGTAGGATGTCAGTAGATTCCAAATATGATTTCAGAGTATATCACTGATAAATGGCACACTTCTTCAAAACCAGGTTATTCCAAATCATCCACAGTAATTCTGCCTTTAGAACTGGCAGCCGGTAGAGGAGCAGTTAGAAGAGGCTGGTAATAACTGAAATGCTGAGACACTCACCTATATGGCTTATCTGAGTTGTGAATCCGTCTATGATTCCGTACACCAACATATGTTGTGCTCGTGTAATCACAAATGTCGCATCTGTAAAGTTTTTGGACTGAAATCCTATCCCCTATACGATAAGAACATAAGAGTAACCATACTGGATCACACCAAAGGCATATCTAGTCCAATATTCAGTTTCCACAATGGCCAAACGGATGCCTCTGGAAAATTCAGAAGCAGGATATGAACTCTTCCACTCACTTTCTCCAGTGACTGGCATACATCTGTTCTGCATGAATTTTTCTAAGCCTCTTTTAAAGCTGTCCAGGTTGACAGCCAGCACCACCATTTTTGGTAGAAAATTCCATAGTAATTTTCTGATGAAGAAGTACCTCCATCTATGTGCCCTAGATGTCCCGTTGTTCACCCTTACTGGCCAATCCTGAGATTCCAGTATTCCTAGAGAGGTTTCTAATAAAGGCTTGAAAGGAGGATTATAAGTTTTTTCCCCACATTGCCAGAATGTTCTGTTTGGCAATATTTTGGAGACAAATTTTAAGAAGTTCTACTTCAGGCTGGTCAGAGTGTAATCTTCACACACACTCAGAACAGTTGTGAAGAGTTTGATACACCCACCTAAGTTGGGCTAAGGATGTGGAAGAGATGTGCTTCAGGATATGTTTGTGTCCAGGATATGTTAGGCATTAGAACTGGCCCAACTGCACAAGCAACCCAACTTGTAGGTTTTGGTGGGATTCTTCTTAGGGGGCTCCCAAGGCACAGCCTGAAATCAGAGATGCTACTCTGAATCACACAGTTCAAGAGCTATATCCTAGCATCCTCTGACATTGTCAAGGAGCCTGGGAAACACTCTTGGGCCATGAAGTGCTCAAGATGCCAAATTGTCTTTAACCAACCTGATAAGCATCTGAGACTTTTCTTAACTAAATCATTACAGCAAGAAATGAAATAACATTCGCTAGAAAATAAAGATGTATTACCTCGCACTAAGAGTCTAATCATGGACTCCATCATATTTTACACACAATTATATCACTAGCTTATACTTGCTATTTTACAAAATGCAACTGTTTTTCTCTCTCATTGCATGTTTTAATTTGGGAACTGCTTTTCTCAGTGTGAGGAGCGGGGTGGGTAAAGAAGGAAGGGCAAGCCCTGTGGTGTGTAATGAAGTGACTGATTTTGATCAAACAGCAAAAGCAGGTGTTCCCATAATGCACGTTATTACAACAGCTCTACATTATTAAGCATTTACAATCCAATCATATGCAGTAAGATCCCTCTAATGTTATAGCACAGCCGTGATGAACAGGGGTGCCAAAGATTTCATAAACATGAAACGAATGTTTCTGCACAGATAACTCGCACATAAACAGATGCTGCGCCATAAACTCCTTGGGTTTCGGCTGTTTTATAGAGGTGACATCTGTTTGACAAGAGGGACTCCTTCCTGCAATTGTATCATAATTTGAGTACAAAGAGTTTCCAAAATACTTTAGAAAGCTTAAATTCTCATTTAATGAATGCTGTTAAAAGGAAAACATTTTCAGTCAAGTCATACTTCCAATCTCAGTATTCTGTGAGGTTTTGTAAGGCATTGAAGAATTGAGGTAGGGCTTATGTGAAGTGTTTATTTGGGGTGAAGAGGTGGGAAGGATGCATTATCAAGAAAAAATGCAATAATTTCCCTCCAATTCCAGGGCTGTTGCAGTGGAAGATCAGCTTTCCTAAGGAATTGTGGGCAGCTGCAAAAAGCTTCTTCTTGTACCCAATTGTCAAGTATTAAAACCTTGCAGGATCAAATGCTTAAAAGGCCTTTGCGACACACAGGTATGTGAATGGGTGTCACATGGTAGGGGGTAATGACCTTTTTCCCCTGTGGTGGAAAAAAGAACGTGGTCCATGGGGCGAAGTTCAAGGAACTGGGTTTCAGGTTGGATGGCAGGAAGCACTTCCTGACGATTAGGACCCCTAGCAAATGGAATGGGCTTCCACGGGAGGTGGTGGGGGCCCCGTCAGTGAGGGTATTCAAGGTAAGATTGGACAACCACATGTTGGGGATTACAGGAGTGCAGCCGGCTGGAGCTGGTGGTCAGACTAGATGGCCCAGGAGGCCCCTTCTGACTCACTGTTTCTATGGAGACTGTTGAAACCCCTTTCCCCAGTGATCCTTCATGAACTCAGTATAACATTTACAAGGTTCCCAGATTTTAAACATTACAGTCATTCATTCAGTTCACACATGGCAGCTACTCAGGATTTAAACAAACCCTGAGTTGCCACAAATGAGCGGGAGCGAGCAAGCATGCCTAGTCCCCTCTGCCTACTCCTACTGTGGTAAATAACCATGGCTTGTTTGTTCCCCAGCAACCAGAGTTCCAGGTTCAGAAGTCACAACAAACAACCCATGGATGCAGTGCTCCTATTTTGTTTATTGCAGTGGGAGCAGGTGGGCAGCTGGGAACCAGTTTATTTATCTTGCTTCATCTTCAACAATCCATAGTTAATGAACCATGGATTACTGGCAATGGGTAAACTGTGGGGCATGGTCAATGAGGAGATTGTAATGTCGTTGTCATCATCAACAGACTGCAGATGGGCACCAGATTTAAAAATCTGTTCAGTCCCTAGCAAGTTAAAAAGAGAGACAGTACCAACTCGTTCATCCACTTCACTACAAGTTATGAGACTGTCAGATGGAGACGTTGAATATATATCTGGGAGGCTGTGTTGCTCTCTCTCATGGCTTCGCAGCTGACTCTGGAATGCAAAAAGTTGTACAATCTTTAAAAAGCATGTAAATATGTAACAGGCAGTTCCCAATACTGCACAGATATTCCCTTGTCAACACTGCCTGTACCTACTTATGTTATCAAAGAGATTCTAAGAGTTTTAAATTATCTGTGAATACCAACCTGGTGGGAGAAAAAACCAATTTCCAAATCATGTAGGAATGATGAGGCAACAGAACATGCTCAAGAAATACAAATCTAGTTTCTTGTAACCGTACGAACTCTGCAGATTGAGTTCTGCCATCAGAACTTCCTTGACCTGACTCTGCATGAGTTTTACCAGTTCTGAGAAGCATACCAATCTTGAATGCCAAGACCATGGCCAGGGGACAGCATTTTAGCAGATACTCCACTGCTGGTACTCCCAACAAGGCCTTTATGGCAATACAGAGAGACCATTTGCAATACCACCCCATTTAGTTTACCAGGCTATACTTTTTGATTCACTCGGTTCAAGCAATCAAGACTTTGATATGCAGTCAAAGTAGGAAACACATTCACCTTGTAATGAAAGGATTCTTCACACTGTTTGCACTGGTGCATTCGGGTTTTGCAGTGGTTGATCATATGGCTTTCTAAATCCTTACTGTTGTCTGCTATATGTTCGCAAATTGGACATTGATAGGGCTGCCTCTGGCGATGCACCCGCAAGTGCTGCTTGATATACCCCTTGTTGCCACTGCTGTAGTGACACAAGCGACAGCGGAAGGGACGATCCACATTTGGGATGTATTCCACCAGGTTGCTCCCCAGAACATTAGCCTCTGCCGCAGGTTGGCACTGCACATTGTCCTGCAACTCCTTCAGAATGTCGTCATCGGAGGCATTCTGGTCTGTCCTCTCTTTCAGTTTTTCAATCACGGTGAGCAGTGACATGCTAATACCCATTTTAATTGGACCTTCCGTTAACTCAGGTTTATCCTTCTGTATTTCCATGAAAGCACAGTCAGTCTGGTTTAGGCTTGTCAGCTCCTCAGTTTTGAGGGAGGTGACTAATTTAGAATGGGCTACATAGCCGCTGTCAGCTTGTCTCTGCCCATTGTCTGCACCCATGGAATTGACCTCGGCAAAGGCTCTGAGGCTCGACCGGGCTAGCTCCGCGGCTCTGATTGGCATCGTAACGAGAGCTTCAGCAGCTAGTGAGTGCAATCTCAAGGACTCAGAGTTGGTTCTCCTCCTTGTAGGAGGAGCATTTTCATCTGCTGCTTTGCCTCTGCCAGGATTTAAATCACTCTCTTTCTTTTCTGTGCTGCTCCATCCAATTATTACTTCTTCAAGTTCCACGGAATTTTTATCCATGTGATAAACTTCCCCCGATCCCTCGTGCACGATACGAGTTTGCTCAGAGATCTTGCTTTTCTCAGCCTCAATGTCAGTGCTTATCGAGTAAGACTTCTGCAAGACAGGTTCTTCAGCGCTTGGTAGACGTTCCACTATAACATTAACATGCCCCTTTTTGTTTGGGCTGCAGTTAATAATTTTCTGGGCTGATGAAAGCAAGCTGTCAGTTATCAAATTCTCTTGTTCCAGATCCGTATCGGACATGGTCTCCTCTAACATTTTGCCTACGGGCGAAAGTGCAGCCGACTGATTGGGGACCGCTTCTTTTACATGGTCTTCTGCTGGAGAGGTTTTATAAGTGATTTGCTCAGGACTACAAATATGGAGCTGGACAGCCTGGTCGCTACACACACCCAGTTCATGACTTTCGAGTGAAAGAACTACAGTATCTACATTGTGAGAAGCACCTGATACGGAGGAGTCTGGCAAAACAGCTTGCTCATTCTCCTCCTCAAATATAGGATATGAGCAATCCACTTCTCCGGCATGCTTCCAAGCGTGTGTTTTCAACATTCTTTGTTGGCCACAAGTATAGCTGCATATTAAGCACCGGTACATCCCATATTGCTCATAAGTATACCACTTTCGTCCCGTCTTCTCAGTCATGTGGGGACTCTGAGGCTGGGCCACCTGATCACTGCCTACTTTAACAAAGCTTTCCTTCGGCCCTTGCAAGGTGGTGTTCGAAAGACTGACGCATGGCTGCTCCTTTGGCAGAGCTTGAGTTTTGTCGCCATTCTCTGGGTGATGCCTGACATGTGCTTCGAACTCTTCAAGGCTTCTAGAGGCAAAGTTGCAGATCGAACACATGAGAATTACCTCATTCTGCTGACCATGTTGTTTTATGTGTTCTTTCAACAGAGGAAGAGTCGGAAACAGAGATTTACAGAGACTACACTGGTAGCAAACCACTTTCTTTCTACTCTGGGGAGGACAGTCTGCCACATAATAACGTTCTACGTTTATGGTGCCCAGGGCAGGCAGTTCAATTATTTTGGCTGGGACCTCCGGGAAGTTTTGCAGCTCAAGTGACAGCGTGTCTGGATGCAAGCGCTTTTTCCCTATTACAAGGCATTTCTGCGATTTTTCACTCTCAACAATTTTGCTCAGTTTTTGGATGACCTGGATGAGTGGATCAGAGTTACTCTTCCTCTGGCTCTCACCACTTTCTGAGGTTGGACTTATCACTGTTTCTGAAATCAGCACAGTTTCCTGTTCCCCTGGATTTGAGACTAATGCTGTGATGTTGCTTCCTTTTTCCATACTATCTGAAAAGTTGAAAAAGGGAAAAGTGATATGTTTGTCATAAAACAAAACAGCAAGGTTATAGAACACAAAGATAGAAACGTGACAATAAATCCATGTCGTAATCTTAAGTAAGCCCTGTTCACTTCAATGACTAAGCCAAAACCTTTTCATTCGATCGTTATTTTTAAAAAATAGTATTTTAATGTTTTAACAAGTCGCTTTCTATTTAATTTATTTTTACTGGTTATATGTTATTTATTATTAGTATGGATTGTTGTCTTCTGATTTTAATGATTGTAAGCTGTCCTGAGATGCCATGCATAAGGGACGGCATATAACAGTTTTAAATAAATAAATAAAACCACACAAAAGACTGCCTACCTTTGTGAGCAATAATACACACATGCACTTTTAACTTTAAAACAAGATGGACAGGTTGTTCCTCTACTATTAAAATTTGTTTGGATAAGCACAGAAAGTAGGGGCTTCTGTACAGACAAGAAGTGACCTTCCATTAAGGCCTATGCTTCTTACGAGACTGGGTCAATCAGTGATATTGTTTAGAAAGAAAAGGGCCTCAAACAAGAGGCATGGTTCTGGTAACACACTGTAGCAGTCCTTTAATACAATTCAAATCTAAAATCCACATGTGTAGTATTTATTTATTTAAATTTATTTATTTATTTAAAACATTTCTATGCCACCCCATTCACCAGAAGCCTCGGGGCGGCTTACAAAACAGATACAATTCACACAATTAACCTTAAAAATTTGGAGACATTTCGGCACAATATCAAACCCAATAAACAGTCAATTAACAATTAAAATAACTTTTAAATAAAAAGGTCTTGGCCTGGCACCGAAAAGCAAATAACGACGGCACCAGGCGGACCTCTCTGGGGAGTGCATTCCATAGATGGGGCGCCACTGCAGAGAAGGCCCTCCTCTGGGTACTCACCCTCCTAATATCTTTCACGGAGGGTTCCCGGAGGAGGGCCTCAGGACGCAAGCACTCCTTTATTTCATTTCTATGCTGCCCCATAACCCGAAGGTTCCCTGGGCGGCTTACAAATGCTAAAAAGCATAAAAACATAAATAAAACCATTGATACTCGAAAAATATAGATAAAACAATAGTAAATAACATCACACAATCTCACCCTCCTAATATCTTTCACGGAGGGTTCCCGGAGGAGGGCCTCAGGACGCAAGCACTCCTTTATTTCATTTCTATGCTGCCCCATAACCCGAAGGTTCCCTGGGCGGCTTACAAATGCTAAAAAGCATAAAAACATAAATAAAACCATTGATACTCGAAAAATATAGATAAAACAATAGTAAATAACATCACACAATAAAATGTATGTGCACACACCAATAAGCACAGCCAATAAATTAACCAAAGTTAAATCAAAATAAATAATCCATAACAAAATATAAAGTATTAACCAAAAACTTGTTTAAGTAAACATGTTTTCGCCTGGCGCCTGAAAGAAAGAAGAGTTGGCACCAGCCATATATCCCTGAGGGTGTGGGCGTGTGTGTGTGTGGGTATGTGGAGGGGGTACTTCTATAGGATATCCCATTAATGTTCTTTATTTAAAAAACAACAACATGGCATTTAATCAACAGTGGAATCTAGTGGGGCACTTACTTTCCCACCAATTCCCTTCTGCCCCGCTGATTCCCCTTCAGCAAGCAGTAGGGTTCCTCAAACAATAACCCGACTGCATATTTGTTCTAAAATTAAATGGGTTACTAAGCTGAATCTTTCCCGCCTAAGTACATTCCTGATGGCTTTTCTTTCAGATCACACTTCTTGAAGAACACAAGGAAAGCCACGCTGGATCAGGCCAAGGGCCCATCTAGTCCAGCACTCCATACACACAGTGGCAAACCAGCTGCCCACAGGATCCCTCAAGCAGGACGGCAAGACCTCCGTCTGCCCAAGCTCCTCAGCAGCTGGTATAAGCTTCTCACAGAGAGGTCCAGGTTCGGGAACTTCCCTACACTTTCTTACAAATAGAACAGAAGCTGTGCACCATTCTTCCTCTGCCTCCAGTTCTTCCTGCTTCTTCTGGCTTCCACGATGATTCAGATGTTCCAGAAATTATTTGTGCATGTTCCCTCTGATCAGACAGTAAATAGGAACCTAAAATGTGTTATGCATATCTTGGCTTCCTCATTAAATTATCATGTCTGGTGTATTAATTTGAAGGTACAGCTTATTCAAACAATAATTAAGAATTTACTGAGTTTGTGTAGAACTTGTAAAGTACAATTATAACTTCATGAGCAAACCAAGTTTTTGTATTAAGAAAACCAAGTATTATAACCTTAGAAGCATAACTAACACAGTTTCTAACACAGCCTTCTAGATGTTCTAGACAACAGTGAAAAGCATTCCTGATTGCTGGCAGTGCTGTCTAATGGTGATGGAAACTGACATCCAAAGTATGTAGAGGACACCAGGTTGGGGAAGGCTGTCCAAAAGTGACAAAACAACTTTTAATTTTTCCCAAAGTTCTATTTTTTTTTTCCAATTAGAAAAAACTGGAGGGGGGGAATCCTCCTATGTCTTCAAATTTTCTGGAAATTCCATATCTCTACCCCAAGCTAGCTACATCTCTATCCTCTTGCAACTTATCTCATCTGTTCTGGTCCTCTGTTGTAAGAGGTGACTAAGGGTGATGTAATTCCTATGCACCGGTGTAGAATTTTCTTAAACTGAACATCTGTCTGTGGAATATCTTATGAGTGCCTAGGGAATTCCTTCTCCATCATGGTGCTAAACCTTGGAAAGGCAGAGAGACTTGTTATTAAGCATTTGAGTTTTTAATCTAATTATATGCTTAGAAGAATTTCCAAAGTAAGTCATGGTTTAAAAATCAATAGAAACAATTAGCATCTACCAAGTCTGTCAACACACCAAAATGAAGAAACAGCATATGTAGCTATGGTCTACTTTCAGACAGTCCATGTTTTCTAACTCCATAATACAAACTGCGTATGTTGTTTAGCAATAAAAACATATAAAAATCCTGCAAAATTGAAAGCTCCTACAAGAATCTGAAACTAAGCAAGACAAAATTTGCTATGTATTTCACACTTTAAGAAGGCTGTAAGCAATTGTTCAACTTGGCAAGCAATTAATTTCATTTGCAGAGTAATTTATTGTAAATAGTATGCCATTAAACAAGCATGTATCAGTGGTTTCCTACCCTACCCCACCCCCTATAGTGTGAAAAACATAGAGAAATTCCTAGTTACAAGTGTCTCCACTTAGTTAAAACTGTAATGACAACACAATGACAACCTGGGAATTCGATGACATTACACTCCGACAGTTCTTTCTTAAGATTCAGGCAGTTTTAAAAGGACAATGTTTTGGATCCAAAAAGGAACAGAATGCAGAAGGATGTTTGTTTATTGTTTTCACACACACCTTCTCCCCCAGAACACAAGAACTGTGTTATCATGAAATCAACAGGTGTTGCATCTATGAAACAATTTTTGTGAGTTAAAGAAGGGCCTGACCTCAAAACATATATGCTTGTAAAAGCATTTCTTGTATATGATGTAGCAGTGGTTTGCCAATGAATGCTCAGGATGCAACAACCAAAAATGATTTAGTTATAATACCTATCAGACACTCCATTGAACTCAATGGGACTTAATTCTGAGTAAAGTGCTGATAGGCTGCAATCCTGTGCCTGTGCAGCTAAGTCCAATCTGATCTCAGGATCTATTTCTGAATGGACATATTCAGGAATGCATGTTAATCGCTTAAATGTCATAGTGCTTTTGGTTTGTAGGAATATTTCATTTTCTTTCCCAAAGCATCTGACTTTATTGTTTACTGCAGATCTTCCAGTTTACACACTGGAAAACTAATTCTAAAGAACTTGCAAAGGAATCTCCACTTTGGACTATATCTTTGCTAAATAACTTAAGATATGAATGAATGCCAGGACATGCAGCCCCTTGGTGGTATGAGAAATCATTCAGGAAGCATCTAATCACTGTTTCCTGTTTCATCTGGACTGGGAAATTGTGTTTAATTAAAGTTTTCCTAGTTTTTCTTATATTTTCCTTATATGGTAAGTAGACTGGATTGATGCATGGGCAAAAGACTCATCAACCTGAGTTACAATCATCTGGATGTGGCCTATGTGTTTCAGCCTGCATACAAATTAATTAATGAGAAAAGTAGATGTAAAATAAATAACTGTCCATTATCAACAAAAGCATGCTAAATCTAAAGCTGAGGAATAATTCTTAAAAAGTGAGGTGCATGAAGGAGCTGCTGGCTCTAATTTTCCTTTGCAAAAGCAGGAACAATTGTCACCTATTTTCTCTATCAAGCACTTGCCATCTTAGATTTGGTGGAACATACAAGGTTCAATGGCTCAGATAGAGTGTTTTTGTTCTGGTGAATGTTGATAATCTCCAGCTTCTGGCTAATCAACAAAAGTTGACAATCCTTTCTCTGCTTACGATCAACATTTACCAGAAAGAGATGATAAAATCAACACTGATAGTTTCCTGCAAAACAAGGCTGGAAGAGTTAAGATAGTTCTGTAATTCAGTCCCTCATGGGCTTTCCTTTGTCAGGTTAAAGCAGCTAAGGTGTGCTGGGGTGGGGGCTCATTAAGCCTTTCCCAACATTTTCTCACTTAGTATCAGCCTTCTCACAAGCAGCTTGTGTTTTTTTTTTTTCCCCATCTGGAGGACCTCAAATCTTTTATTCCGTAAGGGATGGGGGAATCAAAAGGAAAGGCAGAATTTTAAATCAAGAGCTGGGAAAGATTGAATTAAAGAGCCCTTCATTCCTCTACTCCATCATTTGTTCAAACTGAACCCAACCCCTATGGTTTTATTGTATGGGGGGGGGGAACCTTAGGAGGAAAGCAATTGCTAAACTACACATGTGCTGATTTAGTCACAGTTAAAGGTGCTTTGTTGCCATTTACTTCAGTGGAACTTATGCACAAATAATTGTGTGCTGGACAATGACCACTGTTCTAAAAGGCCTACCATAGTTCAGTAGCGGAGCACCTGCTCCGCTTGCAGATAAGTCTCACATTCAACACTTGGAATCTCCAGTTGAAGGATTTCAGGTAACACTGCAAGGAGCATTATGGAAGGTCCTGAAGAACAACTGTCAGTTGGAATAGGCCATACTGAGCTAGACTGTCCAAATACCTGATAGTATAGGGAAACTGCATGTGCTGTATATTCTGAGGGTAGAGCCTAAGGACAAAGGTTCATGCATAAAACAATCACTGCAAGAACATCCACTGTGCAAGTGAAGTTATAGCACCACAATGAGAATCAGTGTGGTGTGGCAGTGCAGGGTTGGCACCCACGTGATCTAGGTTTATTCATTTTATTAGATTTTTATCCTACCCCATTAGCCATTAGGCTCCCTTCCTTATAGGGGGATTTTTATTCTGCCTCGGTAGCCACAAGGTTCTTGTCCCCACTCAGCCATGGAGCTTACTGGATGACTTTGGGGCAATCACAGACTCGAAGCCCAGTCAACCAACATGGGTTGTTGTGAGGATAATAGGGAGAGGAGGAAGACAATCATGCAAGGTGCCTTGGGTTTCTTCAAAGGAAAAAAACAAGATATAATAAATTATATAATGAATAATAGCATCAGGTTAAAGAACATAACCTTCATATGATTGACCTTATCTTTCATTTTCAAAGACTACCACATCAAAAGATTAAACAAACATTTAAAATGTTTTTAAAGCAGAAAAACAGAAAATAGAGACATGGTGCATGTATCTTTTATCAGTAGCGGTTCACTTTCTACAAGAGAAATGCACTTTTTTGTTTACTCTAAAGAAACCTACTATTGACATTGCAGATGAGAGCTCAGGCTGATAAGCTAACTCTTGCTAGCTGGCTATGACTCTGTGTCAAGCAAAGTATTCAAGGTGTTCCTTCTGCAACACCTCTGGAAGTGCCAAATAGTTTTCAACACCTTGGTTAGCACTTTGCAGCCTTACTGAGATCACTAAACACAAATCACACTGGCCTAATTCTCATGAAACAACAGTCCACCATGGATTAATTTAACTACAGGGGCTGTCATGTTGTGGCAGGCACCATCCTTCAATCTCTTACAAACCTATTTTAAATCCAAGAATCAATTGGGGCGCATTTCCTAATCCTTTATCATCTACATTTATGGTGGCTGCTGTTGCAACACACTTCAGATCAAGCTGCAATCCTGTGAGGATCTTAACCTACCATTAAAAAACAATGTATTGTTTATTTATATATTATACTAATATCCTACCTTTTCCCCCTCCAATCAATCTTATATTCACAACACCAACCCTGTGAGGTTAGGCTGAGTGTCTGTGACTGGCCCAAAGTCACCCAGTGACATCCATGGCTGAGGGAGGACTGGGACCCAGATCTCCTGAATCCCAGTCCTGCACTCTCAACCTCTACACGGCAGTGATTCAATGTAAAGACGGATGAGAAGAAAGAATGCAATGGGCAGAGGAACGGGTCTGGAGAGGGATGTTCCAAAATTCCCAGTTCCCCCTGAAGTTCACCCAGGTGGCTTTGAATTACATCTTTCCTCCCTGTTTGGAGAATCCAAGGTAATATAGAAAAGATAATCTATAGCTGGGAACGATAATAAATAGTAAATGAAGCTTGAATGGGGAACCTTCTTGGCCTCATGGAACTAACTAGTTAGTATAGTAATTGTGTGTATAAACAACTGGAGTTGAAGGGCATATGAGATGAACAGAGGAAAAATCCTCAACCAGGCTTCAGGGGCTCTAATGGTACTGAAGAGTAACATTTGGGGCTCTAACACACTGCTACAAAGGATCTGTGCATATATTCTTAGACTGCATAACAAGAACTTAATGGTTTCTGGGTTAAACAGTAAAGCCCAGTGCACACTGATGGAATAAATGAATTAACGGCAGGTGGGCTCAGATACCTCTGTAAAGCTGAGGAAAAAGCAACTCAAGCAAGGCGGAAAGGGAGAGGGCTTTTCTACATACATCTTTGCTGGTGGGGCGGGGGAATGCGAAGAGCGTGCCTGTGTGAGCCTGTTATAGCAAGAAGGAAATTCCAGCGGTAGCCTAAAAACAGCAGATACTGCAGCATAAGCTTTCAGATACTAAGCGCATGAAATGTTATTTGGCAGATCAAAATTAAAACAGGCCAACGGGTTTCTTGAGCTCGAAGCTCAGTAATAGGCCGGGGGTGGGGGATGTAAACAGTGAGTGCAAAAGGACAAGAAATGCTGCGACCGCACTCCCGCAGTTCATGGCCTTTTGGCCCCATGGGTTATAGTCTCTCCCTTTCTCCTCTCGCCTGCGAATCCACGTGCGTGATGTGCGCGTAGACAGGCAGACACACACACAAGCACGCCTCATCGCGCACGCACCATGTGCAAGCGAGGGTAACCGTGCACCTGCCGAAGCGGCCTCCGATGCACGAAAGCCGCGGTCTCCCGGGCCCCTTTGGCCTCTTTTCCTCATTCTTTGTGGAATCCCACGTCATGCTTTCCTCTGGGTGCCTGCCCGAGAAGGGCGCTGCACGAGAGACGCACTTCTGGGCGCGGGTCCCGGCCGGGCGCCGCTCTGCTCGGACACCTGGAGGCGCCTTCCCTCCCCGCCCCTCGCCCCCTCCCGAGGCGGCTCGCCTCCTCTCGCGTCGCCCGCCTTCGGCCGGGCCCCACCTCGCCGCGCTCCCCTCACACCCACCTTCCCAAAGGGAGGGTCCCCCCTCCCCTTCTCCTCCTCCTCCTCCTCCTCCTCCTCCAGCGAGCACCACTTCAAAATGGCGACGATGGAAACGGGATCACGTGATCCGCAGAGCCCGGTCAGGTGACCCGAAAGTGAGAGTTGCGCCCTCCTTTCTCTCCTCCTCCTCTTGCCCGCCCACCTGTTACCATGGAGACGCTAACGGGACTCGGGCGCCGCGCGGCCTCTGCAAAGCCGCCTGCCCGCCCCACCTGCCTTCCTCACCTGCCCAGACCCTGCCCCAGGTGTGCGCAGAGGAAGTGAAAGTGCCTGCTTCCAAGGCGTGCGGTCGCGTGGATGCCGGCTGGGGCGCGCAGGAGCGCTTCGGGAGCCGCGGGGTGGGGCAGCTCGCTCGGCTTGTTCCCGCTGTGGCGCCCCGCTGGCTTGTCGTAATACCGCTCCCAGCCGGCACGGCCATCTCAGCCAGGCTGCGCGGCGTGATGGCTGGAGTGCTGGGCTGGCACGGGCTCCACGAGAGCCGTGGCTCTTCCAGGGCACATCCGTCGTAGGAGCCCGAAGGACTGAGCCATGAAGCTCCCTGGAGGGGCCGGCCTGTCGTGGAATCGCAGCGCTGCCTTCCTCACAGGCAGGTGCCTGTGATGAGGGTAAAGTGGAGAGGAGGAGAACCTCGTAAGCCACCCTGGGTTCTTTGGGAGAGGGAGCAAGGTGGGCTAGCGATGTAAGAACAACAGCATGTATTCATTGCAATGGCTTTAATCAAATTTCATGTGAGAAGCGATACTTTATTTCATTGGTTTTATGTTTGGGATCCCCCAGTAAAAAAGGAAAAAAACAATATATTAGCACATGGCTGACCCACTTTTGCCCCTCATCCAGGCAAATGCAAACACCCAGTCATGGGCCTTAGTTGTTAGAAATGATGAGCTCCCATTCTGCTAGTCCTTAGATTTAGGCACCCAGGATACATCATTCCCTGAGTGCGGATCCTGGCATAGCCTGCACCTAAACATCCCATTGAGGATGGAGCATGCTTGGTAGTTGAGAATTGTGTGTTGTCTGTTGGAAATGGAAGGGGCTGGGCAGCTCCAAGGGGAAAGACAGCCCTGGTGGAATGTTCTGCTCGAGTTCCTTAAACAGCATATAGCCACATTTGCCAGCCTGGTGCCACCCAGATCGGTCAGCCTCCACCTGGCTTTGGGATAATGGGAGTCATATCTAACCCATCTGGAAGGTCCCAGCTTACAGAAGGTTAGCTTGTACTATGGTATCCTGGAGGATGCTATGCCTGGATGACTGGCAGGAACCCTGAGCAGAAGCACTTCTGCAAAAGGGAGGGGTGAGGATATGCTGTAACATTTTGGAACAGAACAGAACAGAACAGAATTTGAGTTGGAAAGGCCTATAAGGCCATTGAGTTCAACCCCCTGCTCCGCTTCCACATGTGGTCACTCATCCAACTGCAGGTCCATGCCATTTCAGCTTAGCAAAGACAACTCAACATGCTAGCTCAATTTTATCACAGGTCCATCTTGTTTTCTCTAGATTTTGGACTAAGAGGGCTTAGCACTGCCACTTTTGATTTGGAAGGTAAATTGACTGATGGGGTTAGGCAGCCAAAGAATAAATAGCCATTTCTCTTCTTTTCCACTTATAGCTGCAGAGAAGAGGGACCCCACTCCTGCAGCCAGGAAGCTCCAGGAGTCTCCCCGCTTCTGCTCTGCCATCTCCTCTGACTTCTGCCACGTCTAGGGTGGTGGTGACGGCTGGGAAGCATGCAAGCGAGAGAAGGCAGCGACTGCTCCTCTGCCTCACTCATCCTCTCTTGGCAGGAGCAGGTGAGCAAGGCAATTGTGAGGAGAACTGGGCTCATATCGCAGCCTTGAGAGAGGGCCTGAGCGCTTCCCGCTGCCCACTCTCTCGCTTGCTCTGCCTGGGTCATGCCAGACGGCTGGCCATTGGAGGAACAACCTCCTCATTGCTCACCCCCCTGCACTCTGCCTCAGGGTGGTGCCCAGCTAGCCCATTTCTAGCTAGCTAGCCCATTTCTCCGTTCCCTCAGCGAGGGAAGGGAGAGCGAGCTGGCAAAAGAGCAGCCACCCCCCTTTTGCCCACATGCTCGCTTCAGAGAACAAAGCCCAAAGGAGAGCCAGGGTGGTGCAGTGGGCAGAGTGCTGGACACAGGAGATGGGGGTTCAAGTCCCCATTCAGCCCTGAAGCTGACTTGGCCTGTCACATCCTAACCTGCCTTACAGGGTTGTTGTGAGAACACAGTGCAGAGGGAAAGAGCATGCAAACCATGTTGGGTTTTTTGCAGGAAAAAGTAGGCTGTAAATGGAATAAATTAATCCTCCGTGCTGCATCACCCAAGAGATATGATGAAAAGCAGGCTGAATATCCCAGAAGGAGAGGGCGGGTGAGCAACCGGAGGCAGCGCTGCTCTGCAAGAGGTGCCTCCTGCACCCTTTCACTTGCCCAGCTCCCAGGGTTGGCCACCAAAGGGGCAGCCCCAGCATTGTTCCCCCAAAGGCTTCCTCTGGGCAAGTCAGCAGTGGAGTGTCCATCCGATAATCCAAATCCTCCCACTGCCACACGAGGTGAGAGTGAGGGAGGGAAAGGAGGCAGTGGTTGTTCCTGGTCGCTCATCCTTGCTTTCTCCCAGCAGTGATGGCTGGACATGCGATGGCTCAGTCTAGCCCAGTTTTGCCTGCCAGGACTGTCCAGCATCTAGGATGGTTTTCTCATCAGGTGCTGCTGGACAGGACACAGATCAAACCTTCTGTATGCCAAATATGTGCCATTGACTATGCTTGCTTTTAAAGGCGAGGAGAGTAAATAAACTATATCATTTCATAAGTGTTGTTGTTATCATGTTATATTTATCAGTGACTTTATAACATGCAATTCTACCAGTAGTGTAGAAGATAAAACAAATTTCTGTGATTCAAAACCAGCGTAATTGAGAAGATAGAACACATAGCGGCACCACAAGTCAATTATTTGTGTAAAAGAGCTAAAACTGACTGACTAAAGGTAAAAACGGTCACAGGACAAACTGACAATGTGTAGAGTGCTCTAATGCAGCCAGCAGATCTGGATCTGGACAGGAAAGCCTGACTACAGTTATCCTCGCTCTGGTGGCTGCTCAGTTGAATTAATAACATCCAAAACAGGGCAGCTAGATTGCTAACAGGGTCTGGCCGGTGTAATCATGTTAGCACACCAGCTGCCAGTCCATGCCTGGGTTAATTCAAAGTGCTGGCATTAATGTTCAGGTCCTCTGAACCAGGTTACCTGAAGGATTGTCTCCTCACCAACATACCTGCCTGGACCCTAACAGCATCCTCAATGGCTCTTCTTGGGGTGGGGGGGAGGGGTGCCCTGCCAAGGAAAATCAGATAAACAGCTACTAAGACAAGGGCCTTTTCTGTTGTGGCACCCTATGAAATGAACTCCCCAGAGAGGCTCCCCTGGCACAATGTGATGACCTTATTTTCCCACGAATTGTCTCAGGAATTTTAATTTCAGGCTGTTTTAAATCAGCAGTTTAATATCAATATAGTGGGTTTTTAAAAGATTGTTTACTGTCCACTGCTCCAAATTCTGTTTGCACATGGGGAGGTACATAAATGCTGTAAATGAATGATCTGGAGTAGATTTTGGTGTGGAAGGAGCTGAACAACTTTCAGAACAGGTATCATGAAACTCCAGGGCTGGTTCGCCTTAGCTTCTCTAGTACTGTTTCATCAGATCACTCATGGGACATAAAAGATGTTGAATAATAGTTCCAAATACTGGGCCATAAATTGGTTTAAATACAAAACCATCAGAACTGGGTGCTGAGTCTATTTGGAAACTATTTAAAAGGAGTTAATTCTGTAAACGTATGTGTGTTTTTGAGTGTTCTCTCCTGAGTTTTCACATTTAAAAAGAACAGGTTGGTTTGAAGACTTCTGTAAATCTTTCCATATAATAGAAGTCCAGGCAGAGTGCCTTGGTGATAAACGATGAAATCCTGACCCCATTTAAGTCAATTGGGGTCCTGCTTTTGACCTCAGTGAAGTCAAGCTTTCTTCTGGAGTATTTACTTATTCTTTGTGTCCCAGGTTCAAAGTATTTTTCAGTCATTAAGATATATGGGATGCCTTAATGTTATTAATGAGTTAAGTAGCAGTGAGTTCCTCAAGAAACATAAGATTAAAGGATGTAGTATATTTTATGTATGGTGCGGGGTAATAAATTTTCCCAGCCCATGCATTTTCTGCACTTGGGAACATGAGTGTACCGGAACCTTTTCAGATACTTTATAACAGTCACTTTATTATTAATGTAACACCTAATTGGGGCCCCAACAATCGTAAATTTGCAGTGCAGCATATTATGTCATGCGCTGCAAGAAATGGCTACAGCTTTTGAGTGCATGGTGCTAAGATCTCCATGCCTCTTCAGAATCCATGCTCAGCTGACTGCTCCAGGGATCAGGATGGGTTTACATGGCATGACATGAGCCTTGCACAGGATGGGTTTGCATGACATGCTTGTTAGCAGCGTGTGCACCCCTGTTCCATGCCACCCAATTTATGCAATTACCTTTGCTGGACTCAGCTTGCCGTGATGAGGGTGGCTGGTGATGAGCGGCCTTCGAATCCTATTCTTAGGTGACTCACCAACTGTCACCAGGTTTGGACATGCAAACAGCAGGGGTAATTATGCAGCTTGGGTAGTGTGCAGCCAGCACACATGGGATGGTTAGCAAGCCAGTGAGGGTTCTTCCCCACTTCCACTGGAACTAGATTGGCATAGCACTATCTTTGTTGCTGCCCTCTTGGCAGGACTCGGCAAG